AATGCAGTAAATAAATAATAAATAAATAGATCAGTAAACTTGGACATGAAGACAAAACAAAAGATAGCATACACCTCTGAAAGGTGTGTCCTGAATAAATAGCATATTTCATATTGTGAGAGCCAGCATAATACAGTTGAACTAGATTCTGGAGATCAAGGTTCATATCCCTGCTTGGGCATGAAATCCTAAAGGATTTCTAAGATTGAGAGAGTGTGGGCAAGTCACACTCTCTCAGCCCTAGAAAACCATGTTATGGGGTTTCCTTAGGGTTGCCCTAAGTCAGAAATGACTTGGAGTACACAACTAAAACAATTTCATATTGTATTGTAATTTATTTTGTCAGTTACCAGCAACTCTCTTGCCCCTTCTGTTCAAAGAGCCCATATATGTACAGTCAGTTAAGGTCACATAACAGAGTGTAAGTCTTGAAAACTTGCAAGTAAATAGCAAAACAAGAATTAAATTTGAAAGAATCTATTAGAGCTCTCTGTCCATCCCTGCAAAATACAGCATTACAGAATAAACCAGAAAAGTACAGTAGTGCAGAATTTCCCATTTGCCAGGTGAATTTGATCTAATGTGAGAGCAGCAGCCAGTTTATTTATTATGCCAAAGCATAGCATTCATCCTGATCTACAAACTCGTTTCAAGTTATCATTTCCAAATGCTGAGTTATTAAAGAAGTTACCTATTGTCAATCCATAGTTAAATCTTCCTTAACCATGAAGCGTTTTGATGTTTGGATTGAGATATTGTTATAAGGAAAAGCTTCTTGACATTGTTGCATTCTCTGTTGCAGTGTGATTGAACCAAAGCACAGACAAGTGTGTAATTAATTTGCTGACTTGCTGATTATAATTGCCTTTCCCTTGTCTCTTAATCAAATAAAAAACCTTTCTTAATTGTGCTGCTGATAAGAGCTTTCAACATTGCTATCACCTTCAGTCAATATTGGACATGATGGGACTTGCAGTCCAACAGGAAGGTATTAACTTATGGAGGCAGCTGTTGTCATTATATCACTTTAACTGGAGGTTCCTTTTGTTTGTAAAATAAGACTTTTTTTTAGTAAAATGCCTGTAACTGTGCATACCACATCTAGCTTTGTCATCTGCTGTAAGCACTTTTGGGGTCTTGCTCAAACTTGTTTTGAAGTTGTGTTTAAATGTGTTTAAATATCATGTAAGCAGTCTTTGTAAATGAAACTTTCGTTATAAACTTGGATAAACCTGTTTTTTTCTGTCAATGACATTAAATAACATGTTGAAAACAATACTGTATCTTCCTTGATTGGCACATTTGTTACATGAGAATTGCAAGTCATCTCCAACAAGGTGGAAAATCTTTCTTTTTGTATTCAATACTGATTTCATCAAAACACATGAAGGAAAAGGAAGTAAACTTCCCAATTATGATTCCAAACCACTTGCTTGAGGATTTTTTTTATTAACCAGGGATAGGCAAAAGAATTACACATGGATCTCCCAAAGACTTTTTTACAGCCTCCAGAAAACTTTATAAAGAGGCTAGGTTTGTATTGTTTCTTTATTTTGTTGCAAGAAGTGGTGAAAATCCCTCTCTACAGTTCTTCAGAATACACAGTTCTGTTCTAAAATAGAACCATGTATTTTATTAGTATTATTTAAAATAATTCTTTTTAATCCTTTGATGCACTATTCAACTTAGTCTACTATCTATATGCATTTACTTTGGAGTTACTCCTATCTTGAAATCAGCGGGACTTGTTTGTGAGTATGCATGTGTTGGATTGCACTGCCATAATATTGTGTATAGTCTGTACAACTTGTAGGGCACGGGGAGGGAGCCTTCTGGATAGTTTGAACTATATTTCCTACAGTTTGTCAGCTTTAACCATGTTCAGTGAAGCTGGTGGGAGTTGTAGGCCAATGCATCTCAGTCTTTCCAATGTGAGGAAGCCATGTTTGATTTTGTTTTGTCAATGTGCCAAGGACCAGTACTTTAATTGTGGTCACTGGTTACAATTTGTTCTTTCTTTCCTGGAAACTCACTTTGGACCAACACTGGTCCATTGGTTACTTTTGAGTAGCACAGTTGTGGACCAAATCTGGAGAGCTAAAGATTATACTTCCATGTTTAATTGTAATAAAATGCAATGCACATATAAAGGACTCACAGTTGATCCACTAATATGGTTAAATAGTATTTTAGTAACCAGTAGTGATACTCAGCCTTCTTTTTTCTTTTCTTTCTTTTTTAACTTCTGCTTCTCATTTGCCCTTCCTTGGCCTTTAAGTAAGAATTCTTAAGGCAAAGCGTACTTGCTAGGTCATATAAACAATTTTGTTTGCAAAGTTAATACAGATGCAAAGATGGTATCAAAATGAGAGTTTGTTGCACTTGATTAAAAAGCTTTGGTGAAAAGTGAGCATGATACTCCAAAGGGTTAAATCAGCGTTTCTCGGCATTTAAAGGGTATGCTACCTTTTAAACTTGTATTCATTTAATAAATATAAAAAATCTTATACTCCTTTTAAGCATGTTGAATTTTTAACATAATGTTGAAAAGTAAAAAGTCTACACATTTGTGAATTTAGAAAAATCTTTTGATACATTTTCGCAGTACTGGCAATTCAGATAATCAGCTGTAAGGCAGTAATAGTATGGGGATGGAAAGACAGAAAAATGGAATATGGAAAACTGTAATACTACCTGTTTGAACAAGTCCAATCGGACATTGTATAACTTGAGATAATGTGCAGGAGGACCAAACAAAAGAACTTAAAGAGAACTGGTTGATCTGCATGAAATTGATAGAAAATGGTAAAGCCAACACAAATATTATACAAAGACTAAGAAAATTCTGTTCTTGCTTAAAGATATAGAGGAAAATTTGGTAGGGGTATGGCGTGGGGGGGGGGGTAGAGAGGGGGGAAAAGAGTGGGGGGGGGAATGAAAAGAATAACTTCCTAAAAGAGACGAATAGATAATATAGAAATAATCCATTATGTATAATGTGTATTTGCAATAGATATCTATTACCTATTCACAGATTGTATGATTATGTATTTAATTAAAAATACTTTTTAAAAGATATAAATCAGATGTGCACTAAAAAGTGATATGTATAATTGTTTGCTTATTTCTTTCTATTTTTTAAAAAAATCACATTACAATATTTAACATGTTTTTAAAAAGATTTGCACATCTCTTTTGATATTCCTACTGGTTGAGTATTACCAGCCTCAATTCATAATAGTGATTAGAACAGGATCCCAGCACCATTTATGTTTGAATAAATGCATTTTCCAGCTAAGAGAGAGGTGTCTATACTTCTGTCAAGGAAATATTTAGGAGCTTGAAAAACAGGTTTTGAAGCAGTATTGCAGATATGCTTTGTGATGTGATAGGTAGTCAAAGCATTATCCATCACATGTTAGGACTCCAGTAACCAGCTAGATTTGCTAGAGATTGTGTTGGTTGTGTTTGTTATTTGATATATATTTTTCAGCACTTTTGCACAGAACATTATCAGTGGATTCAAATTGAGGGATTCAGTACTTTTTGACTGGTGATCTTGTAACCCGAACATCTCTGGAGATAGGTAACATTATAGCAGTTTTTTGTGGACTACAATTCCCAGACTCTTAAACAACATAGTCAACGGCTGAAAGTTACAGTCATAGTTATTTTTCCAAATTCTAATCCCAGATGTTAAAACCAGTGGTCAAAACATTTTAAATATGCTGTTTTTTAGTCTCCTGTCCCAGTAAAAAGAAAACATGCTCATGATAGGAAGGGATAGCTCTTATTCCAGCCACAGTAGCAAACCTTTTCTTCACTTTAGTGTTTTGTAATTTGATTAGAGTTTTGTGGGACCATTAGATGAGAGTGTCTACCAAATACCTTATTTCCTAAAACACAATGTTGATTAACCAGAAAAGTGTTTCATACTGTCTCTGTCTGCAGAATGATTGGCAATAGAGGCCTTGTGATGGGTGATATGAATGACATTTGGGAAAGTGAGTGGGTAACATCAGAAATTAGAATTTGGAAAAGAGAATGAGAGAGAAGAATGATGAAAAGTGTAGGTGTGATGTTGGGTTTTATATCTGCTACGTTGTACTTGTTTCAGAAGTTAACGTGCTAAATGAGCAAGTATTTCATTTCATTATTTTAAATACCTGTTTTTATATGGATTTGAAAGCTGACAGATTTCACACACATATGTCTTAGAAGTAGTCAGCTAAGGATCTGAAAAGGAAGGTCCTAGTGTTTTCTACAAATTGGTTGCTACTGCATCTGATGTTTTAGAGAGTATTAGAGAAAGGGTGGACCCATTGACTCAAAATGATAGCATGATGATTACCACCTGCCTCATTCCCATTTGGGGTCTCAAATTAACAAACCACTGGAAATCCTATGCTAAAATGTGTTGGAAAACTAAATTATGTATGTCAGAAATAATAATAAAAGCAGTTCTTGAGTGATGTCTGGGATGTGCATACAAATTCAGCTGTTATGTAGCCTGGAAGCACAGTTGCTTCCAGGCTTTCTATGTCTGCAAAGAAAAACTTTGGATTTCAGTAAATTGGTAGGCTTGCCTGAAAGAGTGAAAGGACCTCCTTAGCGATTCTTATGTTTCTAATTTTGGCAGGATTGTTGTTACACAGATCTCAGGTATATACATAGCCAACCTTTTGATTGTCCTAGAAAGTTCAGTGATTGTAAAGTATCAAAACTACAAGAATTAGTAGTTGTAGCCTTGTGGCTGAAGCATCTTGTTCTTTTAAAGCTAGCATAGCTTGTAGGAACTGATAATATTTTAAATTTGCCTGTTTAAAATAAAATATGTTAATTTTAATTTTGCATTTTTTTTCTGTAGGGTCTTAATGATTTGTACTTTCCAATTCAAACTACAGTACTTTTTCGTGGCCTTAAATGACATTTCATTAACTACTCATTTCGAACATAACCACAAAGTTTCAGTGACATGTTCTTGTCTTCTTGCATTACAGCTTCCTGTAAATGTGTGTTAATAGCAGAGCGAGCAGAACTTTTTATATCTATGAAGAATTATCAACAAGCTCTTTATGATGCAGAAACACTCTGCCAAAACAAACCCCACTGGCCAAAGGTATGTTGAAGTTGCCAAAAAGTAAAAGAGTAGAGGCCGGATATAGTAGGAGGCTGGATTTGAACACGAGTACATTGGAAATTGTTTTTAACAGAAATTTAGGAAAAATGCCTTTTATGTGTGAAAAAAATATGGTTGTTGTGGAGTCATTCATTCTGGCCAATGAAAATTCTTACAGTTTTATTGTCTTGTGGCATTTTCATACTGTGTCATTTAATTGTAGCTTGTCACTAAGTCCAAACCTGCACAAATCAATTATGGTAGATTGGGAGAAGGCAGCTGTATAAATCATGGTTTCAATATGACTTCCTTCGTTAACTGTGGATGAAGGTAATTACAGTTTGCCATTAGTTGACAGACGATCTGAAGGCACATACATGCACACAGATTTTGAGGTATCTTTCATCAGTTTAAAATGACAACAATGATTGTCTAAAATGCACCACTATGCTGGGGTTCTGAACCTTTCCAGTTAATGAATCTAATTTCAACAAGTCACATTTTTAGTACCCATAGGATTCCCCATGTGAATTTTCAAAGTTTAAAGGAATCAGGCTTTATATTTCATAGCCATTTGTCACAATTTGTATTCAGTTCCTAAATAAACTTGTCTATACTTGCACCTTCCGGATGTGTTGTATTAGAACTCCTGTCACAATAGCCAGCATGATAATGGTTCTTGCTAGTTGATGAGGGTAAAAACAGTGGTCCAACATTTGGAAGGGCACTAGGTCAGACTTTATTCTAAAACTCAACTGTGTATCCTCCATTCCCTTCATCTCTTTTTTCATCTCTTTGGGTTCAACCTTATTTTGAAAGAATGAAGTTCTTATAAGATTTAAGGATTGACTATAAGTACATTACAGCCTATGGGTTTGGAAATTATAATGCATTGATTTCTTATGTGTATGCATACAGGGCCATTATGTGAAAGCACACGCTCTTTCTGGATTAGGAAGGATTGAAGAAGCATTGAAGGAGTTTCTTTATTGTGTTGCCTTAAATCCTGAGTGGAGTTCAATGAAGTTGGAAGCCCAAAAGGTAAAGACAGTACATATTGTTTGATGAGTATAGTCTCTCAGTGTGTTTATATTTGTTGGGCTCACCAGATAAATAATGTTTTGACTGAATATAGCACATGAGCCTACAGCTCAGGTGTTACTCAATCAGTTGCTAGACTAGTTTTTTTGTTTTCATAGAATGGTTCTTCGTGGCTCATAAGCTTATGGAATTTAGCACCAGATTTAGCATCTAATAACTTAATTTAGTCTAATGAAACCATGACTATAGGGGCCATCTAGTCTAATTCCCTGCCATATATGAATACACATTTAAAACACTTCCAAAGCACTCTTTTTGTAGGTCATTTATTTGTTATTTATAACAAATATTGCAAGTATTTAAATTTTGTATAATTGTTATTATGAAAAAACAGTTCTTGTTTGTTTGTTTGAAAGATGTAGGGAGAATGAACATATATTTGATACACATAACCAGGACGGGTGCAAAATATGTTCATAGGATTTGGGGTGGGGGGGGGGAGACAATTTCGAAGTGAGAAAGCATGAGGTTCTGTTTTTCAGAATGCTTTACCTTCTATTGATTTGTTTTTCTATAGATACACTGAGCTGTGAATCAACATTTTTGAACTTATATGTGCTTTTCTTTGTCTAGATAATGTGCGACATGTTTTTTCCAGCATTTGAAAATGTGCAAGATAGTCTAACAACACCTTTTTGTAACCGGACTTCTTATACAAGGTTGAAACCTGCATTTTTAAGTAGCATAAATACACAGTCTTCTGGAGAAGATGGATCATCTGCAGAGAGTTCAAAGGTAAAGACTTGGAGAACATATACACTAAATATAAAAGCTGGAAGTCTGAATGCCACCTGCTTGCTTGAATATTCTTCATTTGTCCTTGGAACATAATGTAGGCTATTATATTGTTTTCCTACCCAGTTTCTAGATGAGTTGGGTCTATAATACCGGATCTCAACATAAAATAAGCTGAATATGAGAAAATAATTTGTTAACTTAAATGTGTAATCATATTACATGTTTTGGAGCTCTTTTTAATAGTACTGGGAAAGCTTACTGTTTGTACTAACTACAGAAGCCCTTCTGGCCTTTTATTCTGGAGGAGTACTTGAAATAATTTTTAGATCTATAATAATGTTTTTAAAATATACCTGCTGTGTTTCAGCAGTTATTCAAGCAAGCAGAGCTTTGCAATTATTTCATTGACTTGGAATAGGGGTGACAAACACGTGGCTTTCAAGATATTGTTTGACTGGAATTTCCAGCATTTGCCCTTGACTGTGTGACTAGGGCTTCTCAGAACTGTAATTTGATAGGATCTGGAGGGGTGGGGTGCATGGGTCTTACTTTTTAATGTAAATAAGACACATAGTCGAATGTAATGAAACAAGGGTGAGAAAATGGTAGAAGCATTACTTAGCATAGGTCATGGAATAAATTGCTGTGATACCATTCTTAAGTCATTGCTACAGACATTTCAGTTGGTAAATGGCGATGGAAAAATCTGAGTCACATTTCTTATCTGTTTCAGGAGACTGTTCTGAAGTTAACAAAAAATCCATCTCAAGAGATTGATGTATATCGAAATATTGATACTTCTGTTTCTCATCCGATACTGGATTCCTATTTTGAAGAGAATAAAAAATCTTTGGGAATAATCCTGTCCAGTTTACCCAGTGCTAGCTTAAAAAGAAAGTACTCTACTGATGTGGGGGATTTACAAGGCTTGGATGTCCCCAGTAAAATTCCCCGCAAAGGTCTGTGTCTGAAGGTGGATTACACTGTTCCCTTATGAGATTCTGTACTCATTTTGCAAGGGAATGCATTGCTCTGCCACTTTTGTTTTAGGGTTTATTTTTCTAGGATTAGCTGATCCATTTCTGTTCTAAGCAGAATAGCCAAAATGCCCGTGTTTGTAGAGTACAACAAATGACTTTGTGTAAGAAGAGACTGTTCTTGTAGAGTGGGGAAATGCTTATGGGTTACAAATGTACATTCAATGAAAGTGAGCATTGTAGCAAATATAATATGTTCTAATTCTCTATTGGTAGAATGCAAGAAATCCATAAGTGTACTTGTAATAATAAGGGCTCCCTTGTGGCATAGTGGATTAACCACTGAGCTGTTAAACTTGTTGGCCGAAAGGTTGCCGGTTCAAATCCATGGAGTGGGGTGAGCTCCCACAGTTAGCTCCAGCTTCTGCCAACCTAGCAGTTTGAAAACATGCAAATGTGAGTAGATCCATAGGTACCGAACTGGCGGGAATGTAACGGCGCTCCATGCAGTCATTCTGGCCACATGACTTTGGAGGTGTCACATCAGAACAACACCAACATCTTAATTTATTGTAGCACAGACAGGCTTATTTGAGGTGGTTTAATTCAAATGATCTTAATGGGAGCTAAAATTGCCTGTATTTTTTGAGTTTTGCTGATTTTGTATGTTTTACTTTTCTATAAAAAGATGGAGATGCTGCTTGTGGAAACTCCACCTCTTTTCCCTTAAAGGCGATACTTGGAAACCTTGTGGATGCATCAGATTTTGAGTGTTCCCTCTGCATGAGGTATTACCAAGATACCAAAAAACAACTTATATTTGCTAAGCATTGCAATGGAGGTGGGGGTAGGGCAAGAGGAAGAAGTACGTAACAAGAAGTACATAAGATGTAATTCCCTTAAAAAATAATAAACCATATTTTCAGCTCATATAGTTATTTTTAAAGAATGGTGTAGTAGGGGTTTAAAGGAGAGTTAATATATATCTTGCATAAATAAGTCTAGAGACCGTTTTAAATAACGAACTTAAGTTTGAGCTGATAGTTGCTTCTCCATAAAGAAGGGTTAATTGTCATTTTTATTAGATTGAATGCCAATTTTATTGCCCTTAATGTGATTTGAACATCTCATGCGGTTAGTTGTACACTCACATGGAAAATGGAAGTATGAAGTAACCAGTACTTATTGAAATCCCAATGTTTCTTATTCAGGTTATTCTATGAACCTGTTGCTACTCCTTGTGGACATACCTTCTGCCTCAAATGCCTTGAACGTTGTCTGGACCATAATCCACATTGTCCACTCTGTAAGGAAAAGCTCTCTGAAGTAAGTTCTCTCCCTCCCCCCCTCCCCCAAATCTCTGTACTGCTTAAATGAAAGAAAATAAAATGTAAAAACACTGGTTAAACATTCTTACTGTTAGTAAATTGACTGTTTTTATTTATGGATGCAGTGACCTGTAAAATGAGCTTATGAAGTGGGCCTTTTCCAGTCATAGAAACTTGGTTTAACCTTTGGTTTGTTAGTAAAACGGAGTTACTGTGTCACAAAATGATGCATGTCTAAAAACATGAATTGTTTCAAAAGTGTTGGACTGTTAAATGCTTCCTCCAGTAAAACTCAGGAGGTAATTTGAAATTTCCCCTCCTTGCCTATGAAAACCCTATGAAATAAGTCAACAGACAACTTAAAAGCACAGACACACATGGTGCCAGCTGTTCTAGGTGCTGAGCCTTATCTCTAAAATAGGTACAACAGCTTCCATAGCTCCTTTAAAGTTCGCAGTGTATCCCAGACCAGATTGACAGAGAAAGACTAGCCAACATAACTTGCTGTAATAGTGGGCATTCTATTTCATCTTTAGGCATTATTCCCTACCACTACTTTGCTTGGTGAGATTTCTGTCTTGGCTGTTAACTGTTTTATCCAGATACTAAAATATAATACAAAGCCACATTGGCAAACTGTGTACTTCAAAACTTAAAATTTGGATGATTACCATTGCCATGGTAATATTGGCTCTGTCTTCTTACTCAAAGGCAGTCTAGTTATAGGCCATTGATATGAAACAAAATAACTTACATTTGTGAACTTACTCTTTCATAGTTTTTGGCAAGCCGAACTTACAAAAAGTCCGTCCTTACTGAAGAATTAATAGTTCGATACTTGCCAGAAGAATTGTCTGAAAGGAAGAAAGTTTATGAAGAAGAAATGAAGGAATTATCAAAGTAAGTAGTTTTTGTTTTAAAAAAGAAGAGAACACTGTTTTGAAGACAACAACAATTTTAAGTCAGACATTGTGATTGCTGAGTGCTGACTGATCCTTTAACAAACCTTCCTACTGAAGACGCAGGTTCGCAGTTTGGGAGTGATCCTGGATTCATCGCTGAGCCTGGAACCCCAGGTCTCGACGGTGGCCGGGAGAGCTTTTGCACAATTAAATCTTGCGTGCCAGCTGCACCTATTCCTTGGGAACTCTGATTTGGCCACGGTAGTCCACGCTCTGGTTACATCCCGATTAGACTACTGCAACGCTCTGTACATGGGGCTGCCTTTGAAAACTACTCGGAAGCTTCAATTAGTCCAACGGTTGGCAGCCAGGTTGCTAACGGGAGCAGCGTACAGGGAGCGAATCACTCCTTTGTTGTGCCAGCTTCACTGGCTGCCGATTAGCTTCCAGGCACAATTCAAAGCGATGGTTTTAACCTTTAAAGCCCTAAACAATTCTGGCCCATTTTACCTGTCCGAACATATCTCCAGCTATGAACCATTTGCAGCTTAAGATCATCAAGAGAGGCCCTGCTCTCAATCCCGCCACTCTCGCAAAGGCAGTTGGTGGGGACGAGAGACAGGGCCTTCTCAGCAGTGGCCCCCCATCTGTGGAACTCCCTCCCTAAGGACATCAGGCTGGCCACCTCCCTCCTGTCCTTCAGGAGACAACTGAAGACCTGGCTGTGGGACCAGGCGTTTGACTAGAGGCATTGACCAGAGGACAATGGCAGCTTGGAAAGGAAATTTGAACATTACGACATTGGATTTGTTTGGGTGGATCTTGGTTTTAGCGGCGTGTTAGTTGAATGTTAAATGATTTTTTTGATTATTTTTATAATGCTTTAATCAAGCTTTACTCTTTTTAATTGACTGTATAAGTTGATAGCATCACTGATGCTTATGTAAAGCCACCCTGAGTCCCCTTGTGGGAGAAGGGCGAGGTAGAAATGAAGGAAATAAAAAAATAATAAATAGTTGTGTATGGAAGATATTAGTTGTCAGGTGATTCTGCATCAGGAATGTTCACATTTCCATCATCCCCATATACATTGTGTTTGCCATCCTACTATCACAGTTAGTATGCTCCCAGTCCTGTCCTCTGAGCATTGCATGTTTGGTAGACGGTTTAAGTGTGGGTGCATTTAGCTTATTGATAGCATGTCCAGAGCCAGTACATGTGGTCCTATTTTGCTTTCCTATGTTTGGTGTTCAAATATTGGGGAGGAACATCTACAGCACAAGAGAATTGGATGACTCGAGTCCATAGACCTGGTCCTCCAAAGAGCATTTCAACCAGAAGTCTGTACTACCTATCTATAGTAGGCAGTATAACATCTGTGACAGGGACTTGGGGGACCTGTAGTAACAAATGAGCACCATTTTCTCAAAGTTAGAAATTGTCATTGATAACTTTTTCTTTCTTTGTAATGGGGGAGGGGGGTGGGTTCATATAAAGTAGACATTTGGGAAAAGAATGAAATTAAATAGCTAGTTCTTTACATTTTTTTTTAAAAAAATAAACTTTATCTTGTTTTGTTTTGATTCATGTTTTGTATCCCTAAGTTGTGAAATTGTACATTTATTATATTTATCGATTCATTTTTGATAATGTGTTATTGCTGCTGTAGGTTGGATTTATTTTTGGGATTTGGGAGGGTTGGTTATTTTTGTCTTTATTCAGCTTCTTGCAACATTGAATGTTTGTTGATATCTGTTGTAAACGGCCCTGAGTCCCCTCGGGGAGATAGGGTGGGATATAAATAAAGCATTATTATTATTATTATTATTATTATTATTATTATTATTATTTTACATGAACTAAAACATTATTGTTTGTTCTCTTACAGTCTGAATAAAGATGTGCCCATCTTTGTTTGCACCATGGCTTTCCCCACCATCCCTTGCCCTCTTCACGTCTTTGAACCCCGATATCGGCTAATGATAAGAAGATGCATGGAAACCGGTACCAAACAATTCGGCATGTGCTTAGCCGATGAACTGAAAGGGTGAGCAAAGGATTTGGAAGTCATTTTGCCAAATGTTCTGAAAGAAGACCTACTGGAGATTTAAGTCCACTTGATTTGGAATGCCCCCATCCCAAAAATATGTGGTTTGGCTGCAGTTTATAAAAGCATGGCATGGCTGCTTTCCCCACTTTCTCTTTTTTAAGCGTGGGAGAACAGAGTGGTGAGAAGAAGCATTATTTCTCTGCCTTTGGATACTTCTCCCTGAGTGGATACTTTCAGGGTCTAGAAATAATCTGTGGCAATGAAGAAAATGGATGTGAGAGCTGCTTTTCCCAGTGCTTCTCTTCTCCACTCGTTGTCCTTGCTATGGCCACCATACTCTCAATCCCTCCAGAGTCTTGGTGGTGGGAAACATTGAAGTGACGCTGTGAAGGCTGACAGTGCATTTCTTCCTCAAACTTTATGACAGGTTTGGAATTCCTCCCTGCCACACCTACTCCCCTTATGAGTTCAGCTTTGATACTAAAAAAAAAATCCATTTGTTTTCATTTGGGATTAAATTAAGTCTGTCTGTTTTAGATTTCTTTACAAGATTTCTGGCAATTCATGGCTCTAGATATGTGTAGTGGTTTAAAATGGCTGCTTTAGAAGATTGTTAAAAATCTACTTTAAAAAAACATTCTTTGCAAATAGCATCTTGCTTTGTTACCATTCTTTCATCTTCATGTGAACATTTTTGTCTACTGATATGTAAGTACAACGTGCCCATGCATCATTTGTTTGTAAAATGTATAAGTGGGTAATTAATCAGTAACAAAACAGTCATGGCATCACTGTCTTCTTCCATTATTTGGGTTGTGCTAAAGAAAAAATATGTGGCTCTTTGACCTTTTCATAGTACTGAAATATGAAACATTAATCCATATACTTTGTACCTCTTACCTTATCTGGCCAAGTAGGTCTATAAGTCATCCAAAAACTTGTACAGTTTGATCCTAGATTTGTTTATTAGAAGGAACCCATGTGGTGTCAATGACCTTTACTTTATAAGTCTGCTTAAGAGAGTTGCCTCAACATTGCTCACTGTTTCTTGTGTCCCTTAGGTTTGCTGATTATGGCTGTATGTTAGAGGTCAGGGACGTGAAGTTTTTTCCTGATGGACGCTCAGTTGTTGATACAGTTGGGGTTCGACGTTTCCGGGTCTTGAGCCATGGTCAGCGAGATGGATATAACACTGCAAATATTGAATATCTGGAAGATAAAAAGGTAGATTTTGTGCAGTTGTTTCTCCATTTCCCTTCCATGTGTGCCTTCTCTTTCTTCATTGTAAATTAAATCACACTTTTTCCTCATTCACCATCTGACAGCTCTTACCCAAGCTTCTTAATGTTAATCTCTGTGTTGCTTTTGCTTGGGGTTAATGCAAAGCCCTTCTTTAATGCACAACTTTACTTACATTCTTGCCCTGAAATAACTTCTTTTCTCATCTTTACACCATACACAGTGCTTTACTAGCCTAATGTTGTTGCTGTTGGGTGCCTTCAAGTTACTTTTTACTTAGGTTCACCCCATAATAAGGTTGCCATATCACAGGGATTTGTTAGCAAGGTTTATTGGGGGGGGGGGGGGATCTTTACCTTCCTCTGAGACTGAGAGAGTGTGACTTGCCCAAGGTCACACCATTTGTTTCCATGGCTGAGCAGGGATTTGAACTCTGATCTCCATGCCTTAGTTCAACACTCAAACCATTATAGCATATTGGCTCTCCGTTAATCCTAACATTAGCACACTTTAATAGTTATTGTTTATGATTCAAATACTATACTGAAAATTTTAGCACATCAGGTCCCCATCCAAGGTGTCATCACAACCAGGAGCATATTTATAGATATGTTTACAATTTCCTTGTCTCTGAATTCTAGGATCATTTATCAAATAAGAAATTACAAGTTTATAGTAAAAGGTAGCTGGGAAGATGAGAAGTGTAAACTCCACTGAAATGAGTGAACTCAGTATGCTTCTGTTGTAGCCATGGGATAGGAATAGCATTTCTAATCTGTTATATCAGGCCTCTTCATGTTGTGGCACTCTTTAGATCGATGATACAGCTTTAAAAAGCTCTATGAGATCACATGTTCTTCAGTCATGCTTTGGTCACTGGCTTTTAATCCTGTTAATTTCTGCAAGTAGTTTCTTCAGTAGAACAAAATAAAAGCGTTTTTAAACAGAAATAAAAGATGGCTACAAGAAAAATAGTTTTTTATATGAAAGTTTTTTAAATGTGACAGTCTTTTTGGTTCACTGGACCAAAGATGCAGATCAGAGCTCAGTTATATGTGAGCAGGTTCCAAAGTTGACAGATTTCTGTAGTGTCATAAAACATTTGTATTATATTACAAATGTTTTTGTACAAAAACGTTTGTCTAGTGCCCTCAATTGTCCTTAGAATTCATCTTGTCTTGTAAGATTATTTTGTTAGTTTATTTGTCAATCCTGCACTGTTCCATATAATTCACAGACACTCAGAGAACAGAGCAAACTGTTTACCAAGTGATGATTTGCCGTAGTGTGTAAATAATCCCTTGGCAAGCCGGGTAACTGTGTTGTCTTGCCAAGTGGCAAGGAGAACTTAATTGCTTCCATGGAATTTTGAGCTGGTACAGAAGTATGGTAATAATTCCCTTACTACCAGGCCAGAATAATATGGCTCAAATAGTTATACAACACACAGTGTAAAGTGACTACTTGATAAATGGTTGCATTTATCCCATTGTATGATGTGAGTGAATCACCTTATTGTCTTTCCCACTTTTTATTTATGTTACTACTGAATCTGCCACTAAGATTACATCTTTAATAGTCGCAAAGTTATCCTGCATGATGTTAGTGCAGATTGGAAAACAGATGCAGATATGTGTGATCTATTCATCCATCCATCCTTGGAATCAGATTGATTCCCTTTTTAGTGTTGACACATTCAGCTACCTCAACAAATAACAGTAGCATCCCCCAATTCCAAGATTCCACTTGGGTTTCCAAGTAAAGGCATGGACAAAAGCACTATGGTACACATGGGGAATCTAAGGTATTTCCACTAGGAAATTCTGCTGATTTGGTAATTCTGCAGCTATAGCACCATTACAAATGATTATGAAGGTTAAGGGTTGCAAGTTGACAACAATTGGATGTTCACATGATTTCCACTACTGCATTAACATCAATATGTGGATTTATGTTTTATTTACTGTCTTGAACTCTGTTTACTCTTCCTCTTCTCAAGAATGATTCTAAATGGCTTTACCTTTTAAATGCAGTGATTAAGGTTAAGAGTGAAATCTCTTAATACAGAAGCACTGTGGCACTTGATCTTCCTTAAGAATAATACCCAGCTAAGTAAAAGTCCCTGGGATTGTTAGTGATCTGGCTACTATCAGATTCTTTGTACTGCTGGGAGTGTTTGCTTAATGTTAGGATCTGTATCCTTCTGCCCATTGATAGAAATGATGAGTTGCTTTTTGAATAGGTTTCCCAAATATCAAGCCGAAATGAATTATTTTTCTGTGCCAGCAAGCCTTGCATAAGAGTGTTGGTTCTTGAATAATTGTAAGCCCAGTCAGAAGATTACAACATCATGCCCATGTATGGGTTTAAGATTAAAATTTGGATGTACTAGATTAAGGACTATTGAAAGGTGAAAGGTGTGGAGCCCCCGGTGGTGCAATGGATTAAACCCTTGTGCCGGCAGGATTGCTGACCAATAGGTCAGCGGTTCGAATCTGGGGAAAGTGGGTTGAATTCCCTCTGTCAGCTCTAGATCCCCATACGGGGACATGAGAAAAGCCTCCCACAAGGATGGTAAAACATCAAACATCCAACTGTCCCCTGGACAACGTCCTTGCAGACAACCAATTCTCTCATACCAGAAGCAACTTGCAGTTTCTCAAGTCGCTCTTGACACACACTGACACACACACACACACACACACACACAAGCATTGAAAAGTGTACCAAAAACAGAGAGTTAATGTGGTGTAGTAGTTTGAGTGTTGGACTAGGACTCTGGAAGGCTTCTAATGTGCATTCCCAAATGTATTTTTGGGAAATAGCTACCAACATCTTAGTAGACCCTACCATCTGATTCACGTATATTGGCATGCTGCTGTGGCTTTCTGGTTGGCATTACAACACTAGTGTGATTGTTTTACTTATGTGATCATTTATTTGCTCCCTTAACTACATAATTATTATACTTTTATCATATTCTGTTGAGTGAAATGAGGAAATTAACACGCAGTTGCACCTGAAACAATGCACTGCCTTAAGGATAATTGTTTTCACTGTAAAGAAGGACATTTATAGCAGAGCTTGAAGTGACTTTTTGAACTAAAGTCCCAGAATATCGTAGCATGGCTAATGGGAACTAGCCCAAAAGTGTACCTTTCCCAAGCTCTGGCTTATAGCACTTGGAATGGTGAGAAATGTCTAGCAGTTTCTGCTTTAGGCTTAGGTGGCAGGATGTGCCTGGAGGGGGCTTCGATGTCTGTGCCCGTTCTTTGTCCAGAAATCAAGATATTATCTTGAAAATTATTATCAATGGGCTTTACTGTTTTTCAAATTCAATGATATACTGCTAACAAGAGAAACTTGATTTTCACCCATTGACCAGGTGGAAGGGGCAGAGTATGAAGAACTTGTCCGCCTTCATAATTCAGTCTACGATCAAGCTGTTTCCTGGTTTACTTCACTGAAAGACAACATGAAAGCGCAAATTCTAAACCACTTTGGGTCAATGCCAGGGAAAGAAAATGAGCCACAGGTAAACATTATATCTCTTAAGAGAGAAGGGAGAACATCCCAAAATACAAAGGATACAAATTGGTTAAATGGACGAACCCAGAGGGTGCTCACTAATGCTTCCTCTTCATCTTGGAAAGAAGTGACGAGCGGAGTTACGCAGGGTTCCGTCCTGGGCCCGGTCCTGTTCAACATCTTTATTAATGACTTAGATGAAGGGTTAGAAGGCAGGATCATCAAGTTTGCAGACGACACCAAATTGGGAGGGATAGCCAATACTCCAGAGGACAGGAGCAGAATTCAAAACGATCTTGACAGATTAGAGAGATGGGCCAAAACTAACAAAATGAAGTTTAACAGTGACAAATGCAAGATACTCCACTTTGGCAGGAAAAATGAAATGCAAAGATATAGAATGGGGGGTGCCTGGCTCAAGAGCAGTACGTGTGAAAAAGATCTTGGAGTCCTCATGGACAAGAAGTTAAACATGAGCCAACAATGTGATGTGGCGGCAAAAAAAGCCAATGGGATTTTGGCCTGCATTAATAGGAGCATAGTGTCTAGATCTAGGGAAGTAATGCTACCACTCTATTCTGCTCTGGTTAGACCACACCTGGAATATTGTGTCCAATTCTGGGCACCACAATTCAAGAGAGATATTGACAAGCTGGAATGTGTCCAGAGAAGGGCTACTAAAATGATCAAGGGTCTGGAGAACAAGCCCTATGAGGAGCGGCTTAAGGAGCTGGGCATGTTTAGCCTGAAGAAGAGAAGGCTGAGAGGAGATATGATAGCCATGTATAAATATGTGAGAGGAAGCCACAGGGAGGAGGGAGCAAGCTTGTTTTCTGCTTCCTTGGAGACTAGGACGCGGAACAATGGCTTCAAACTACAAGAGGAGATTCCATCTGAACATGAGGAAGAACTTCCTGACTGTGATAGCCGTTCAGCAGTGGAACTCTCTGCCCCGGAGTGTGGTGGAGGCTCCTTCTTTGGAAGCTTTTAAACAGAGGCTGGATGGCCATCTGTCAGGGGTGATTTGAATGCAATATTCCTGCTTCTTGGCAGGGGGTTGGACTGGATGGCCCATGAGGTCTCTTCCAACTCTTTGATTCTATGATTCTATGAAAGGAGGTGCAATTGAAGGAGTCCATGGCTATAGGTGATGTGGCTGTAAGCTTCTATCATCCACCTTAATGGTGTGTCTGGGCTATGATAGCTTTGGGCAAAAATGAGCAATTGACTGAAGCCCAGTCTCAATCATCACAGGTTATCGAACTGGGTGGTAGGGAGAGAATATGGTTCAGACAGAGATTGTGTACTGTGACAGTAGAGTCTGTAAGGACCTTGACTCCAGTACCAAGTAACCCGTAGCCTCATGCAACCCTCAGTTGGTGTAATAGAAAGATGAAGAAAACATTTTCTCTCCCAACTGGTGTGGAGAATTTTTTGTCCACCTCCAACTCTGCAAGGAGAAGCTTGAAAAGCCAGAATCATGGATCTCTTGCCAGTATAGGTCCCCACTTACCTAAGAATCTTAGTGTTCAAGAAGGGCAGGTTTAAGTTTTCACATCCTCACATTCCCAAATGGAAGGAAATGAACGAATGAACCATTTTGCCTGAGCTTTATGTGGCTGGGTTTAGGGAGATGTTGTTTGCGACCTGCACAAGTCTCTGTGTGTTTGAAGGTGGTGAAGCAAAGGACGAGCTGTGTGTATGGCACACATGCAACTGCCAATCCCCTACTTACTGTATAAATAAATCGGGAACAAAAAGGTCACCCAGCTCTACCTTAAAGGGCCTTCCACAATCTTGATAAATATCCAGTGATAGCAAAATACAAAGTTAACACAGAGTAGGCCTCTTTCATATGTTTGTCCTATTACAGGGATATCTATCTGCCTCACAGATCCCCTTTTCCCACTTTAGGGGAAGAAAAGAGAAGTAGATTCCGCTTCCTATACATAATATTTAGTACGCTCTTGAGTAGATTAGGGTTTCAGAGTGAAATCTTTTCACTTAATTTGACAGTCACCATGCTGTCAAAATTATGTTTGATCATTTCAAAAAAGAGATACTATACTCCTTTGAAAAATATACTTGGGGTTTATACAATGTGCTCAGTTCTCATGCACCCCTAAGGTTAAAGCTGCATAAAATATCCTAAAAATTGGAGAACTAGAAAATTGCTTGTTTATCACCAAGAATTCTCACATATTTGACCCTAAAACACTAAAATATTTCATATTTGGTAAAAGTTAGACTTGTTTGGCATGGCTTCGTTTTCGATTTGTATCAATTATATAACAATGGTTATTTAAACTGTTTTTCATTGTTTTTAAACTGATTCGTTTTGTAGATTTATATTTTTTATTTACATATTTAAACTTTGTGAGTAGTTGTTATAATTTGTTTTAGATGTTTAATTAATGGGCTATTTGTTCATTTTGTATTGTTTTGTGTCATTGAATGTTTGCCATCCTTTGTTAGAAACGGCCCTGAGTCCCCTCAGGGAGATGGGCGGGTTATGAATAAAGTTATTAATGTTAATATTATCATTTGTCTTTATCATGTTAATATTTCTGAGACGTTAAATCATATTATACTTTCTTGAAGCCTGGTAAAATTAAAACCCAATCATCAAATAAGACTGATCTTAGAGGCCTATGTGAAAAACTAGCACCTATGATTTGAAATACTGCATATCAGCAAGTAAGTGCTGCTGTGAGCAAAAAAAGTGTTATTCAGAGGTCTTAAAAGGAGAAAAACTATATGAAAGTATAATTGTGCTCCTACGTTCAGTTTTACTCAAAACTGAAGGACTAAGCAGAAGAAACAGTTCCCATTAATGGAAGGATTGTAAGAGGGGAAAAGGCTACATTAACAGGTGCTTCACCTTTTCCATGTCACAAGCAGCTGTGCTGGTCCCAAGATTGCCTGTTTCTACAGTCCCAACTACATGGACTCTCATTTAGGTTGTGAAACATGTCATGGTAGGATTCAGTCCTTTTTTGAAAACAGAATATATATTCCAATTAAATAAATATTAATGCTGCAGCATTCCAGTTGTCACTACTATACTGTACCTTGCAAACTGATCATGATTTTTCCTCTATTTCTGTTCTGGCTCATTTTATCTTTGCTCCATAGTGAGCAAAGATTTTTTAAAAAGTAGCAGAAGGCTTCATAAGCTTGAGTGCTGTGTCTCCCCCCACCCCCCATTTTTCTTGTTTCTAAAATGTCATTGGAGGGGGGGGGAAGGGTTTATTTTCAGTTTTTACACCCTAAGAATAATGCTGAAGGCTATATTTTGGATTATTCTTTAAATACTAAGATATTTTAGTATACTAAGCACTCTCCTTCTGGACTTGCTTATAATGACATGTATAATAGAACTTTTCGCCTTACTTCGCAGGGCAATCCCAGCGGTCCAGCTTGGTATTGGTGGCTTTTGGCAGTATTGCCACTGGAAAACAGGGCCCAGTTGGCTATTCTTGCCATGACGTCCCTTAAAGATCGTCTCATTGCCATACGACGTGTTTTAATATTTGTGACGCGCAAAAGACCCAGATGACACAGCCTTACTGATCCTGAAAGCTACTGGCTGCAAATGCCTATAAGAAAGAAGTTGGAGACTGAACAATTCTTCCTTTGAATGACACTGATCTGCTCATCTTAAGCATTCACCTTCTTTGCACAACCTCTGCCCTGTAGTTAACCAAGTATTCTGTGCCTATTGTCCTGGAGAAATCTGAGCCTCTTGGAAGTTGTGCCACAATTGCAACATAGCCAATAGTAGTTGCAGTGGTTACTGCTCATAATGGACTGTATATTTATTGTGATGAGATGACTATGTCAGAAGCCCTAAAACGTCCTCAAAACCCCCTCAGAGGTTTTGACTTCTATGTAGCAAGGGCATGGTCGATTAGAAACTGAGAATATGTACTGTTAGAATACTCTGTAAAGGTAGCCAATTGAAGGGAAAATTCTCCAAAATGTCCTCTTAAAGAAGAATCCGCAAAAGGCAACAGGCATCAATGAACAGAACAACCTTTTAACTGCAGCATGTTGGTGTTGTCACAACTGATCTGTGAAGCTAAATTATACTTCCTGGACAAAATATTCCCTTTCCAAGGATATCATCCAAAAGAAAAACTAATGAACAGCACTGTATCTGATTATAATAAATCAATTTTGTGTGTTTGTAATTTGCATGCTGTATGTAAGACTATTTCAAAATATAGCTAGGAAGGCTATTCCTCCCCCTCCCATATCAGAACAAGCCCAAGCAACCTATATCACAATAGAGGAAAAGTTGCATATGGACAGACCAGTTGTTTGTGGTTATGCCGGGGAACCCTACACACGTGCAGATCCCATAGTTTCCCTCCCATTGTGGTAGGAGTTCTCTTTCTATGTGGGATGCTTTTGTCTGCCATTGCAGCCCTTGAGTATGTTGAACTCCGTCGCTGGATTATAGCCAGAACATGTTCCTTATCATTCATTTCAAGTTGTTCAGTGGCTAACTTACTAAAGGCATTGAGAAATGGAATTGCCACTTTAGATTAGCCTTCATAGTAATTCTGTAATTTAAAAAACTTAAAGCAGGTTAAGGCCTAGTTTCCACCTCTACTCACAACTGCCATACAGGCCTAATCTGTGATTCTGGAATAATGTTTGTTAGCACATTTTTTAAAAACCAAAACTTTTAATATTCCTTGTTCTGTACCGACCACTGTCTGTGCTTGGAATCTGTCCTTGGTGACAACATGAGGGGCGGCACACACTGAACCTGTAAAGGCAAACTTCAATGCAAGCTTAAACCAGGTGTTACCTTCAATTTGTTGTTGGTTTTGTAAATATAGATAGCTGTAATTTCAGTGTCCTAGTACCTGTTGGTAACTTTTTTTTCCTTAAAAAAAGTCATGTTGGGAAGAAACTTTAGCAGTAAATATGAAATAGCAAAGCTCCTCCTGATGCAAACCTCTGAGATTTACAGATTTGTTGAAATAATTGTCCTAATAGGAAGGGAAATACCATTGGTTCAAGTTTCAGAATGCTGCACAAACAGAAGGCAAACTGAAAGGTTCGTGATCATGTGCATATGATCTGGCAAGGTGAAATAGTGGCAATACCAAAATAATTTTTAAAGTGCCTCCTTTTAAATTAGGAAAAGCCTGTTTTCTTCAGACAGAGATGAAATTTTTTGCACATGAATTCAGGAAGAAATATTATCCAAAAAGTGATTGACTGCATTGTTAGATATACTATAGTTGTAGTCAGACTGATACCTTATCAGAAGTTGCCAGTAGTTTGCTAGAAAGTGATCAAACACACCCTGAATGTACTGTAGTTGCCTCTACCTTGAATTCGACTTTTGTAGTAAATGAAGACCTGTGACTACTCTTAATTGTAAGCTCCATAACTTGTGACTGATAATCTAATGATCTCTAGCATAGCCTTCCTGATAACTTTGTTACCTTCACCAGAGTTGGTAGATTACATTTATTTATTCAAGTATTTTAAGGAGCTAGCATTAAAGCCAGAAAGGAGGGCTTTTTCCCCTCCTGTCCATTCCCTGGGTGCTATTGTACTTTTCCCAACACAGCTGTCTTCCTGTAAATCCATTGGACTTTAAAAGCTTCCAAGGTTATCTAGCAAGAGATTTTTCAAAATGTGCCCTCAATAGTCTTTGGCAGGGAATTTCAAACCTTTTCATGATTTCTTACATTACCTTTCACTGTGTTTGCTTAATTTTCTCCTCTTGATTTGAGTTCTCTTCCCCTTCATCATATTTTCTGTGTTCTATTAATATCTGAAACAACAATTGAGCATAAATTTGTCCCATTAAGTAACAGAGTAATTTTATTTTGAGAAATTCTTTTCTCTGCTAGACCCCTGATATTTATATCTGATGTTCTGTTTTGGGTGGAGACCTTTTCCGACAGTTGTGTGGTGATGTTAACCCTTAAGATTCGGTTTTCTGGTTTTTGAATCAACTGTTGTACGGCGAGGCAAAACAGGTTAATTCAATTGATTCATTGGCTCTACTTGAGTTGGCAGTAAACATAATTTTGCTTCAGTCTATCAAAGTAAAATACTTCAGCCAACGTATCTGATGAATGGCAAATGTTTAAAATATATTTTGTCTTTGGCTGGCTGATTGAATATTTTAAAGATCAGGGGGTTAAGGTTTTTCTCAGCCCAGAAAAATGTTCAAAACAGATTTTATTGAGTATAACAGGGAGGGGCGAGGCATCCCAGCTTTCCCTATAAAAAGCAAGCATTCAAAAATCTGTTTTCCATCACTGGCCTGCCAAGTAAAGTTTCATGCTAACATATAGATTTTGTAGTGGGACGTTCTATCTCTTTTTAATTTCTACCAATTGTTTGCTACTGTGGCCTTTTATCTACTACTCTTAACATCCTTTCTTCTTTTCACTGAGATTGCTGTGTGAATCCAGTGAGGTGATAATCGGCAGATTTCTGCTTCTTTGGTTCGTGCTGCAATTAATTTTCAAAGGAATAAACGGCAAAGCTATTCAGAGGGCTGTATGTGTTGGTCATACAGAAGCTTGCATAACGGAAGGCCTGGAGTTTGGTAGCGCCTTAATTTTGCAGCTTTAGAATGATTGTATCAACAAAGCACCACAAAAACCAGATCTGGAGCTTGTGACCAGTTGTCTTTTTTTAAAAGCATATTTATGTAGATTAAACTTGAAACAAAATCCTTATCTGTTTTGAAGCTAGTTGAAGATGTGTGTATGTGTGAGTGTACGTGTACATATGTATAAATATAAATTATTCATCTGCGCCTTTTTGTACTTAGTTAAAAAAAAAACCACAAAAAAACCAGGTATGTGTTAAAATCATGTTTGGCACTTCTTGTTGCATAAAGCAAAGCCAAACCTTTTTTTAAAAAAAATATTGCTGCAATGTTCATTTCATGTACATTTGGAATATTCATGGGAAAATGTATTTATGTGATATTTGGAATAAAATAAATTCAATTAACAATTGTTTTCTGTATTTTCCTCCAACCGTATTAGATAATATTCTGAGACTGAGGGAATGGCAGTTTAAATCCTTTTCTTCTTTTTCCAGCTGTTTTCCTTTCCACAACAGCTATCCTTTCTCTCTTCCTTAAGAGCAAAAGCTATAGCGAAGAAAGGTTAAGGTTCCATCACCAGACTGTCCCACATCTTTCTACTTAAATTACAAAAAATATTCCCAAATGGATCACTGAGGCTGAGCATCACATTGTAGGCTGAGTTTGTGAACAATTTGTTTTTCTTAAATCCATACAAAATTAGTTAAAATTTAATCATCACCTAGAAAGTGTTTAATCCCCTGCACTCCACCCTTTAGCTCTGGACCAAGAAATGTTCTTTGATTAGCAGTTTTAAACATACCATTTAACAAATTTGCTGTTGGGGGATTGGGAATTATTTGTGGGTGTGGCAATAGTGCAATGATTGCAGTTGAGAAGTTGAATAAATTATAATGTCCTATATCTAATTTGCACTAACTGCTAAACAGGATACCAGCCAAAATGCCCTCTTGAAAATTTTGGCTGTGAGTTTCTTTGGGACAAAAGGGGTTGTGCTCCATGCAGACTGTAGGGACTAAATTTACAGCTTCCAGAGAGTGAATATATATTTTATTTATCAATGCAAATATAGATGTGTTTATTCTATCGAGGTTTGATCCATATTCTCGATTTAGGTTTATTCTTGTAGCTGGGTACACATCAGGAACAGATCCAAACTGTCACAAATATTTATGTCTGTTGTAGAGTCTGAAAATGAAAGTACTGTTGTATAGGACAACTTTGAAAGACAATTGTATTTGAAAACTAGGTTCTGAGAAATATTGCAGGCTGACTACATGGAGGAATGTGAAACTGTCAAAGAGGAATTTGATTTTTCTTCCTGTGCCTGACATGCTATTTCACCCACCTCATATGATCTCAGTGACATTGGTGACTTTCCTTGGGGATGAAAAGGTCAGCAAAAGAGAAGACATGGGATTCTGATTTCTCTGGTGGCTTTATCATAAAAGGGGACAACCTTCCCAGAGAGAGATGGAATGAGTAATCTTAGTTTTGCCCTGTGTGCCTTTAAAAATACAAGGGGGGGGGGGGGAGTAACAAAAGAAAGAACGGAAACAAAAGGGAAAAATTAGCTGGCTTTTTAAAAAAAGGCTTGTTAAGTATGTCCAGTAACCTGTGTGTCACTTAAATTCTCCTGAAGCTTTTGGAGTATTTAGTGTTAAGCTCCATTTGCAAGATTACACTTTCCTCTAAGCACCAACACATGTAGGCAAGCCATAGCTTATGTGTCACGTCACTGAACTGCAGAGATTTCCATGTTAACTATGACTAATAGTTTAGCACTGTGCAGGTCTACAATCTGCTATTGTTACTCTTCTTCCTCTTCCCTTTTTTATTTCTTTGCAGAATGTTAAAACATTTGTATTTATTTGTATGAGTGCATATTCTCTAAAGCACTATTTCTTAAACTGTGTGTCCTGACCCTAAATGGGGTCCCCTTAGCTCAATGTTGGGGTCCCAAAAATTTGGTATCAGAAGTTTTCTGAACAGCACCTAGTGACTATTTTAGGCATTTACACAAATGTGTGCAAAAGAGGCTTCAGCTGATTTATTTATTTATTTACTATATTTGTATACTGCCCTTCTCAGCCATCAGGCGACTCAGGGCAGTTTACAATAGCAACAATTCGATGCCCCAAAACACCACAAAACATTTAAAAACATTAACACATAAATATAAAACCATAACAAGAATACTATATCACACATCATTTGTGTTTCCTAATAAAAACATCCCATCTCATTGTCCAGTCGTTCCAATTCCTATGTCTTTTACCTTGCATTTTCAAACACTTGCTCAAACAACCAAGTCTTGACTCTTTTCCAAAATGTTAAGAGGGAAGGGGCTGATCTAATGCCCCAGGAAGGGGGTTCCATAGCCGAGGGGCCATCACTGAGAAGGCCTTGTATTTCGTCCCCACCAAACGTGGGTGACACAGGCGGGATCAAGAGCAGGGCCTTCCCGGACAATCTTAAAAGTCCTAGCAGGTTCATAAGGGAACAATTGCACTTCATAAAAAAGAAACAGCCTATTTAGAGTGCCTTGCAAATGCTGATTTGTTATCAGTAAATGTTTGATTTTATACCTATTTTATATACCTATATACCCAGATCATTTAAAAATTTCTTGGGCTTCAAGGCACCATGAGTGGAAAGGTTTACGGATTCCTGGTCTAATGCAGCAAACATCACCAGTTTATTGGAATTCCAAAAAGGTTCTCACAGCAGCCAACCAAATGCCTGTGGGAAACCCACGAACGCAAAATAGATGCAATAATACTCTGTATTCCCTAGCCATGGTTGTTCTGACACACATGCAAGGCCATGAATTTAATATATTCTCTTGGGCAAGGGGTACATAGAGGGGCAAGGAATCCTCAGTCCGTTACTCTGTAATATAGCTTGTAGGATCTGGCATTTGTTGGTGGTCTTTCACCCAAGTAGCAACCAGGGCTGATTCTACTTAACTTCCAAGACATGATCTTATGCCTTTATATTTCTACCTTCTTCTCTAATACCACTGGTAATGTATAGCCATCATGAAATGTAGTTATCCTTTGCAAATGTGCCTAATCCTGCAATGAAGCTTTCCAGTTTGGTGGCATCACTACATTATGTGGCAGCAAATTCCATAGGTTTAACACTACATCAATACTTCAGGGGCCCGTTCATAACGTTATGATTCCTGCAGTCAGAAGCTCAAAACATCTGGAAGTTAAATATTAAACTCTGTTTTCAACTTCTGTGTTTGCTTGCTCTATTTCTCTTGATGCTTCATCCTGATAAGGAAACATGTTACTATGAGCCATGATTTAAATTGTAATTGATTTTATTTTCAAACATTTTAATCGTATGCCTTCAGGATGCAAATCGCTTCCATGAGTGAGAACAGCAGTGTCTAATACAAAGGTGGAAATTGTGCAACTTAAAATCCAAATCACTCCAATCACCAGCCAGATGTAATAAAGTGTGAGGATGTTAAGCCTTAAGTAACTGGCTTTTATTTCTGCATGCACCCATGCTGAGAGATTACCATGAGGTACAAAATAAGACTGGGAGGGTAACTGTGAGCCCAGAAGGGATTTGGACGGGTCACTGCAGACTAAAGCTTATGCCACAATAAATACTACTTTAAAGGTAACCCAACACTTTAATGTTGCAACAGACTAACAAACTTTAATCTGCAAATTCCAACAGCATAACAAGTGATAAGAGATCAGACCACAGAAAATAATACCAGAAAAAGTTTCTGATTTACTGTGTAATTCTGTATGCTGCAATAAAAGGATAATTAAAATCTTTGGATGGAAAAGAAAAGATGATAATTGTCTGGATTAAGAGCAGGGTAGGAATGAAAGAATCAGTTTCCTTTACAATAACATTCTTAAAAATAGAATTCTGGCACAAACAATTTTGTCTAAGTATCAGTAGACTAACAGTGTTGTCACTGCGTATAAATATTCAGAGAATAGATGAGCTTGCATGATCAGATGGGATGAATTTGATGAAATGGATTTTAGCCAGTGATCATTGTATATAGCCAGAGTCCAATGCCACGTACCCCTGCAACTTCGTGACCCACTGTCCCAAAGCATAGTAGGGAGTATGGTATGGTATAATAGAAAGTATGGCAGGCAATCAGGCCTGGTGTAAAGGAACCACGTCGTTTAATCAAATAAAGATCGGTTAATTAACTTAGATGCTGACTCCAAACTCAAATGATGTTCTGGCAGGGAGGTCTTTATTCATCCCACCGCTGCCACCAAAAATGTAAAAAGAATGGGGGATTTATTCAAACAATCCCAACGCTGTACCACCAGTTGTACAGGATTATTAAATACATTCAATTAAGTGTTTAGAGGCTATTGAGACTTTGCCACCAACCCACTATTTTCTGAGGTAATTTCAGTATGAACAATGGCTACCACCACACTTAAAAGGAATGTTTAGTTTCCGGTTTGGCAAGAGGTTTTCAGTAAGCTGTGTTGTGCTGGATTCGACTCGGGGCTTAGAACTCTGAGGTAAATAACACTGAGATTCTTTTAAATAAACGCTGCTACCAATCTTAAAATGCTGTTTCTCTAAACTGCTATGGAACTATTTCACATAGAGGCACTCTTGAGACAGTTGTGGTTTAACAAAGAACAAAGTTGTTTATTTGTAAGAACGTCAACAATACAGGCACTTAAGCTTAACGGTTGCAATAATGAGTTGGAGCGTATGGTTAATTTAAGAACAGTTCAATACTTGGTTCCAAAAACAACTCTTCACTCCCACAGGAAACTAGCAGACTTCCCTCTAACTAGAATTCCTAAAATAACTCCAGACAGTCCTTTCCCTTGGATCTGTCTATTCTCTATACCAGTTATTCTACCTAATAGCTTTACTAACTGACTAACTCTTGGCTTCACTAGCTCCTCTTCTCCTAACTCTCCCAAAACCTAATTTTCTCCTTCAGCACACAAACCCTCACCCAACTCTTCAAACACCAGAACTTAAGTGAGCTGTTAGATTTCAAAACACACCCTTGCAAGCAATTTTTTTCTGCACTCAAGCTAAGCTCCGCCCACTTTCTTCCAGCCAATTACAACAGTTCTCCACATTTCCCTCCAGGCTGCTCCTAAACTCTGCCCCCTCTAGAAAATGGGTACTCTAAAATGGCTGTCTCCATGCACCATCTCATAAAATGACTGCTGAAATTCTTGGGCCTACTTTCTGAGCTTTTCCCTGGCCTAAAAGGTAGGCAATTCATCACACCTGGCATTCCCTCCCTTTAGCAAGTTCATATCAAGATATGAAATCTTTCAGAATGTCTGAACCCAAGACATATAGGGGTTAATACAGAACTTTCCAAATTGTGTGTTACAGTGTGTAGGCATGTCACACGAATGTAATGAGTAACCTCTT